ACACACACACACACACACACACACACACAGCCACTCATCAAACATAGTAAAGGGTTCAGGCACAGTGTTCATAAACTTCATCTTTATTCTGTAAATATTTGTGCATTGAATTTTTAATGAATGAGATGTTTTAAAATCTAAATAACTATATATTGGGTTGTTGGAAAAGTTCGGATGTGTTTTTGCATAGAAAAACATAAAAAATGACTTTTTAGACAACTCAATTGGTTTCATAATGAGCTATCAAAACATAGGAAATAAAACATACAAGAATTGTGTGAAAAACCTTCAGAATACAATGAGCTAAAGCCCCAAATTAGTAAAGACAGATTAGTTGATTGATTGATTGTTTGGATGGTTAAATGGATGCTTGAATAATGAGAAAAAAAGAAAGAAGAAGGAGGGGGCGGGAGGAAGGAGAAAGTAGAAAGAAGGGAAGGAAAAAGGAAGAATAGATGATAAAGAATTTTAAAAGAAGTGTTAAAGAAAGGAAAAATAAGATTTATGAAAAGAAAAACAGTGTGGACAATTAGAATTTCTTAACTACATCTCTGCTTTCATCTTTATCACATTCTTCCTACTAAGATGTGGGTACAAGAAGTGCAAAAACATCCAGTCCCTTTCATGAATTTGCTTTAAATTTTTATTATGGAAAGCGTCAAATACACATAGAAATAAAGTAGTACATATCTCTTCCCTTAATTATTTATCCTTAACCCCCACTGTATATTATGAAGTAAATCTAAGAAATCACTTAAATTAATTGAATACTCAGGCTTTAAAGAATTCTATCCCAGTGATATAATTTTTAAATACTACTATTTTTTTAAAAATAATGAGGAAAACATTTCAAAAGAAGTGATGAGATAATCCTAAACCCACGTTTTTATTAAAAAGAAATAAATTGTTTAGAATCTAGGATATGAACTTAATTTAAGTTCCATAATAAAATGAATTATTTTCCAGATTATGGATGAAATATAGTGGTAATCCTAGACATTTCAGCATGCTTACAACGAGGATTGCTCTACTAACTTTCTTTTTTTACCCATTTATTTAAATTTTATCTTTTAAAATAAAGTAATTAAGTCAGCTAATTTCCCTTTTTATTAAGGTTACCAGACTGCTAGGTCAGGAAAATACCATCAGATAAAAATTCATCTTAATTTCAGCAAGATATTGACAAAGGCACTTAGACTGTGCATGTGTTTGGAGAAATACGAGCTGAGTCACTGTACTATTAGGTAGATTTCTAAGTAGTGTCATGAAATGTCTGGAGAAATAACTGATCAGTCATCTAACTTGGAGAAAGGCAATATATTGGAAGGCTTTGCTCTGGGGTCCTGTCCAAGTATTTGGCTTTAATCATTAACTTGACTAAAGACACATAAAACATGCAACTAATTCCAAAGTAGATTTTGGGTTTATAGACTTTCAGGGAAAGACCACATTGTGAAACTTAATTAAGTTTTGCTAGGGCAGAGACAAATACATTTTTTTTTACACGAGGTGGATGAACAGAGCAAGAGCCTATGCAGCATAATTTGGTTCAGCTTCTTTTGGTGCCTTTATAGATGGATCTTGAACTCGTCACCTAACATTGTGCAAGGTATGTGCCTCTGTATCTGAAGAGCTCAGTGTTATGGTCACCCTATCTCTTGTAATATTCAGGGCTTACATCACCAGCCAAGACAAACATGACTAAGCCACAATGACACAAGCATTAGGACATCATTATACACAACTAGAGCTGCAGGGGGGCCCAGATTTTGTTTCCTGGACCAACCTACACAGGCTGGGCATATGGGCACATGCCTGGAAGCCTAGTTAATTGTAAATAGGGGAAGGAGACACACAACACTGAGAGGACCTGTCAAAAATCAGTCCCTCTCTCAGTCTCTCTCATATTCTTTTGAAAGAAGCATTTACATAACTTCAGACCCTTTTTTCTTGGTGGGGGGGGGGGCAGAGGTTTTTATTATAGGGCGCATGCACTTGCCAGAAAGACAGAAAAAAACAGAGAGACAGAAAGTGAGAAATAACTCCCCAGGGGGGATGGCCACACCGCAATCCCTTCTCCTCCATTCTCCTCTCGGGATCTCGGGCACGCACGCACACACACTCAGTGTGATTTAAACCACTGGGTCCGGGACTCGAACCGCAGTCGACTACATGGGAGTTCAGCAACATAGCCATTATGCTAACTGCTGGTCCCAGCCTATG